AAAGCCTCCAGTGCCCGCAAAGGGGCGTTATCACCCACTTTGAGAAAGGATGATCTAGACCAGTGTTTCTCAACCCAAAACTCATCGCAGACCGGAAAATATCTGCTTTTTTTAAGTGGACCAGTGACAATATTATTTTTAATTGAAAAAAATTCTCTGTTGTAAAAAGAACTGCAAACTACATTGAGCAATAAATATTTGTTATTTTATTTACCAGTACATTAGTATACAAATCAATGTGATCGCTGCTTTTCTTTTTTGCTAGTAAGATCATCAATTCTTGGAGTTAAGGCGGTAACTGCAAGGCGTGAGGCAGAACTAATACTATAATGATTTTGTTGTTTCAATTTTATCATTACCATTGCTGAAAACATTGATTCACATAAGTACGTTGTTGAAAAAGGTAGTAACATCCTAACTGCCTTTTTATGTAAAACTGGATATTCAGATTTAACTTTAATCCAAAACTGTGTTATGGGCATTGATTCAAACAATGTTTTAAATCCCAAGTCTGAACTTAATTTGATTAGTTTTTCGTATTCAAAGTCGTTCAATCTATTAGTTTGCTATCAATAAACGGATTAATAATCCACATATTTCCTATTTGAGAACAACGCATGGAAGGTTAAGTATATATTTTTAAAGTTTTCGCGGACTGGTCAGATTAGAGTTGCGGACCGGCGGTTGAGAAACACGGGTCTAGACTATTTCTCAAGTTTCTATAAAAAATTTCTGTTCATTCCTTTTTTTCTCTAATAATTAAATTATTTTACGTTTTTCTATTTTAGTTCCGGACAATTCCGGAACCTCACACTTGTATTCCTATGAAGTCATAGTATTACGAAAATTGGGATTCTTAAAACTTATAAAATAAAATAAATACAGAAATAAACAACAAACGAAATTACAATTATACGTTATTAAAATATAGAAGTTCAGCGCAGAGAATCGTAACTACAAATCTCTTTCTTTTGCAACATAACTATAAAAATTGTTTTGGTGTTGTTTCGCACAAAAAATAATCAAATTTATTTTAATTTTTTAGTAATGTAATTATTTTTTTTTAAATTTACAGCTTTTTAATTTTTAAATTTTAATTATAAGCAAGTTAACATTGGTTAAACTATCGGATTACCTGTTGATTTTCGAAAATATAACTACAGAATATTTATTACAAGCATGATCAATCTTGCCAGTTTTTAAGCCCTAAATTTGCCAAAATCAGTGATATTTGTTACCCAATGTCATTTCAGTTAACTAATTATTAAACTATGTATCGAAGTTGCGGAAAAAAACGGAAGAGAGAGGGAAAATATGCTTGCAGTACAGTACATTCAAGGAAAATCGTAACAACAAATATAAAAAGCTTGTGCCAACAACAAGTCAGCGCCAGTATTTTACTGTAAACGTCGGGTAACTATTTATAATTTTTTATGTTTTAAACTGAAAAACGATTAAATTACAGATTTTTACTGATCTGTTTAGCTATTTTGAAGTGAACATTCTAATAAATTACGATTTCAACTTTTAAAAGTTTGCAAACAAATTTTTAATTAGTTATTTTTTATTCTAATAAACAATTTCATTTTTTTATAATCGCTGAATTACTAAAATTAAAAATTAAACACTATTACATAAAAGTAGTTTATCCTGTTATTAATTAACTCCCTTGCTACCCACTAATTTTTAATATTAATGTAATTAAACATAAAAAATATTTAAAACTGGGAAAAAAACGAAAGAAATGCGTTAATTTTGAAGAAAAAGCTTCAAACTTTATTTTCCATTGTCTCGCCTTTCTGTGAAATCTGACACCGATGAGTCATTGTGTTTACAGCTGGATGACCTGGAGAACAGCTGGTGTTGGGATTTCCCGGGACATTCTCATAGAAGTCTCGGGAGGAGAAGGGTTTAAAGTAGAGTGAATACTAGCTGGCCGTATATTTTTAAATATTTTTCAAAAATTACGTTTTTTTATTGCGATTTCCGACCCCCCGACTTAATTAAACGTATATATAATAAAATATATTAATTTAAAAAAATTAAAAAACTATTGGAGGTCGTTTTTGACATCAGAAACTAGCTTTAAATAACTTTATCGAAGTAAAATCCGTGCACTACTACTTTAGAACGATGAATGAAATTTGATAAAAAAAACTCCCATTAAAAAACAATTAAGAGTTAATCGTGCGTCATTAAAGGTATATTAAAATCGCGATAAAATATTTTCGCGCGGGAAAAAATTTTTGAAAAAATTTGGAGACTTAAAAAACATCCAAAAAAAACAAAAATTTTTTCGGAGGGCCCAAATGCCCGAGTTTTATATAACGCTATGGAACTTTCCCGAGTTATCTCGGGTTTTAAAGATTGCAGCATTACTTCTTGCTGCCTGCAGATGGCTGTGATTGGTCATCCATATTCAGCAAACGAGATCAACAATGCAGTTAATAAGACAAATTCCCTGACTTTTTGACAATTTTTGACATATTCCCTGACTTTTTGACAATTTTCGACAAATTCCCTGACTTTCCCTGACCTTTTCCAAACACTAATGAAAATCCCTGACTTTCCCTGATTTTCCAGGTGCGTAGGAACCCTGTATATACAATTTTCTTTTCTTCAAATCTTTGACAATAATCAAAAGAGCTGTTTCTTTGTCTGTTTAACTGCTCTGCAATGATCCAAATGATAACACATTAGTCGGAAACTAACAATTGCTAAAACAATTTGATGTTCTTCCTCATTTCTGCTTGATGCTGAACAGCCACTCCTTGGGTCATCTTCAACTTCCTTTTTCCCATCACAGAATCATGATGAGTCATAATGTTATGACTCATCATGATTCCGTGAAACATTAGAACACCATGAAAAATGTTAGAACAAGTCTTTCTTAGACTTGTTCTAACATTCCTCTCCAAATGCTTTCTGGATCATACCAAACAATTCTGTTGATGTTTCACCTAAATGAACACTAAATTTGATTGCATACCATTGTTCTTTTGATGCCTGCATAGCAAGAATGTTCTAACACATCACACAAAATATATCAATACAAGAACCACACTGAACCAATACTGATGAAAGTTGCTGAAACTGCTAAGAAAGGTCAGTTAGATAAATTTTATCAATAATTCATAAATGGCACTACTTTTTTGATGTTACATAAAATCAATCCTAAAACTTTATAGCCACATTATTATTAATGCATAACACTACAATAATCAGTGGTTTCTAACTTGTATTCTGCAGAACTAAGGTTTTGTTAATAAAATTAGTTTCATTGCAGAATCCAAAATTAGTTTTGAGCTTTAATTAATAGTTTATTTAAATAAGTTTTTCATACATATTTCAGTTTCATAAATTATTAATATTTTATAGGAAAAGGAAACCTATGCATACACTCTATAGCTAATATTTGTGGAAAATAAAATCCACTGATTCTATTGATGGGAGAATCAAATCATATTTTTAATTCTTTGTATTAGAAAACTAAAGTCTCATTCCTATTGGTAAAACCTGTTACCTAGAGATAGTAACATCTGAATACTTGAGTGTTCAGTTAGTGATTCAGGAGAAAAAAAATCAAACATGTTCAATTCTCTCACTATGTGGAGCTCCTGCCACAGCTGCAGATGAAATCATCTGAAAAAAATTACTCCTTCACATTAATTACCAGTTTGAATTAATTATATTTGTTTTTCCATTTTTTTTTGTTAAATAAATTATTTGTGTGTTTTATGGTTGCTGTATATTGGATCTTGTGTATGAACATCTCTTTAATCCAAACTTTTGTTCGGTAGATTATCTCACAGCTTCACGATAAGAAACATCTTTATATATATATAAAAATGCATTTGCAACGTAATCCAATTTTTTAAAAAAATAAAGATATTCTATCCATGATGCTGTGAGATAATCTACCAGACAAAAGTTTGGATTAACCCTGCGTTAGTGCACTGAGTTTTTTTTCGGCATTAGTGCAGTGGGGCGTTTGTCCACCCCGACATGTTTTTGGGTCCATAAACCATGTAAGTAAAAATTCATAAAGATTTACTCATTTATTTGGTAAAGGCATGTGTCATTATACATATGATTATATTCAGGTATGATTACATATTATATTAGTACATAAATCCATGAAAATAAAAAACAACATTTATCAAAACTCATTACATTAGATCTTATTATTAAACCAATAGTAAAAATCTAAATTGTTTTTTAAGCATTTTTGTCACTCTGATTCAATAGCTGACATTGTACTTTGGCACTCAGTGCAAATGACAAGCAACTTGCTATGTTTGGTATTTTCTCAATGTGTTTATGAAAGTCAGCCATTTTGAATTAAAATAAACTTAAATTATTTTTATTCACATTGATTATTATATCTATATTATAAATAATAAATGTGGTCACATTATAGTTATTTTTAAAATAAAAAAAACTAAATAAATATTTGTAAAATTTAAAAAAAAAGTAATTAATACTGTGGGGTGTTTGGACACCCTACTGAAAACTGTTGTTTTTCTCTTACTGGAATTTCTGCAGCATCGTAGTAATTTCTGAGCATGCTCTATACATAAAATCATGAAGCTACTGAAGAGGACACAAATATTTCTTGCGAAATCTATGAATAGTGCAACTTTTAAAACGTTGGGGGTGGCGAAACACCCCACTGCACTAGCCCAGGGTTAAAGAGACATTCATACACAAGAAATGATTTTTGATTTTCTGTTTTATTTATCAAGGTGAAAAAAATTAAAGCGTATTGGGAACTACTGCACTACATTCATGACAAATTCTGATAGTTGTTTTGGACTGTGAATGTATGTTATTAATTCTAAGATGTACTTCTATATTGAAAAATGGATAAATATATGCCTCAAAAAAAAAAAAAAAATACAGTATATATCATAAAATCAATTCTTCAATGTAACAATTAAATAATATAAATGACAAACAAAGTTAATGTGATTATCATAAATCATAAAAAAAGCACTTACCTCTGTACACTCCAGATCGATAAGGATCATCATTCCTTCTATAAGAACTATATCTGTCATTATACACTGGATCACGATCATATCCACTATTTCTATAATATTTTCTATCACTTGACCAATTGCCTCTCTCTGATTCACTAGTTGGAGTCCTTATTCTATCCTGATAATATATTCTTCTATAATCACGATCTCTGTAATATCTTTCTTGTCCATCAATAGATTCATTTAACGATGTTCTACTGGAAGGTCTTGAACGATCACGTTCTGAATAATAGTCTCTTTCATCTAAACTATTATATCTTTTATCATCAGCATAATGTCTAGAATCAGAACGTCTATCCCACATTTCATTTCTATTTGAACGATCCATCTCTGTAGGATAATGACCTCGTCGTCTGTCTTCTTCAGGTCTTCTATTTCCATAACTCCGATCCCATCTTCCAATTTGTTCTTCATTTGCTGTTGACTGATTGGAAAGAGAATCTCTTCTTTGTGATAATTCTTCTTTTCTATCTCGTAATATTTCTCTGTCACTCACTGATCCATGACCTGAAACTACTCTCTGTGAAGAAAACCGTTCAGTATCTTGCCTTGGAATTCTTTCTGATGATAAGTCATCATATCTTGATTTTCCTCCATCTCCAGCTAACTGAGAATTAATTCTATCATCATGATGTGAATAAGGTACTTCTGAAGCAGATTTTTCTGCAGGTGTTTTAACTTGCTGGAAATAAAATAAAAACTTAAAATTATTTAAATTTAATTATAATTTTAAGTACATTTTACAGCTTACTAATCAGCTTTCATCAGATTAATAAATTTTAATTTTTAAAACAAATCAATCAATCAACATTTATTTGCTATGGCTTTCGCCTTTGCAAAGGGGTTACAAAATCGTGTAGCGTTAATAATACAAAGATTGTTATACATGGTTTCAAAAAGAACAACAACACAAACAATAAATGATAATAAGAATAAAGCTTAATTAATAATGTTATGTTAGCATATTTAATAAATAACAGAAAAATTTATAAACTTTAAATAACATATCAGAACTTAAATTGTCGTCATATAAGCAAAACATATCAAAATCGGTTGTCAATAAAGTATCTCTTAAATGCTCGGTAATTTCGCAAGATACAAATAAATGGTTTTTAATACTTTCACAAAGTCTATTACATAATGGACAGTTAGAATGGGCAGATATATTCATTCTGCGCCTATTTAATACAATAGTATAGTCGTTGAGACGTAACTGAATTATTAAAGATTTAATATTATATTTTAAATTTGATAATAAATAATATCGAGGTGTCCATGGAGATACAAAGGAAGTCTCAAGAAACCTACACTTTTGCTCAATATAATGAATGTCTTGGGTCCAATATTTATCCCTTAATGACTGAGACATTTCAGCCAGAAAAAGTTTTTTATCAGAAATTTGAGCATAATAATCAGTAGAGTAACCTAAATCATTCAATAAGCCTTCAACTGACGAGGACCAAGTTTTAAACGAAGAATTTCCATCTATTAATTTCAACTTGTTATAGATCAACTTTCTAGGATCATAGTCTGGTAACTCCAAAATTTTACTCCAATATCTAAAAATGATCATTGTTAAACGTATAGCCATTGGTGGACGACCCAGTTCAAATCTTAAGACAGGTCCAGGCACCGAACGATTAATATGAAATATCGATCTAATAAATCTCAATTGCGTCTTCTCCAATTTATCAACGAAAGATGATCCCCAAATAGGGAACATATAGCCTATACTTGAACGTATCAAGGAATCAAACAATCGGTAATACGACTTAATGGAAGACTGTTTCATTCTTACCATAAGCTTTATTAAATTAGAAAGCTGAAGTTTATATTTCAAAAACAGTTTGTCTAGGTGAAAAGAAAATGAACCCTGTGGAGTAAAATAAATACCCAGATATTTATAGGACGAAACAATCTCCAACTCAGAGTTAGATAAATAGAATTTATCAGCCTTTCCCAGTCTACCTCCTCTCCGAAAAACCATTACTTTAGATTTAATCTCATTAATAAATAGTTTATTAGATTTACAGTAGTCTTGTAGAAGATCAAGTTTTTTCTGAAGACCAATAGGTGAATACGAAAATATTACAATATCATCAGCAAACAAAAGACAATTCAATTCTATCTCCGATGATATGGATATACCCATAGTGTTATGATTACAAAAAAATTCCGGAAGATCGTTAACAAATAAATTAAATAAAATAGGACTAAGTGGTTCACCCTGTGGAAGACCTTTATTAGCAGTTACCGTCTCCGAAAAACAACGATTAACTTCAATTTGATAAGTGGTGTTCGAAAACAATTGTCTTATAAGATTAATAAAAGATGATGATATACCTATCCGAGAAAGCTTCGACCATAAAATATCATGGTCTATTGCATCAAACGCCTTTGACAAATCAATAAATCCAACGTATAGTTTCCTCCGCTTCTTAGTCAAAATTAATTGCAAAATTCCAAGAAATATAAATAAATTATAGCCAACACCTCTATTCACTACAAAAGCACCTTGACCGATAGAAATAGTATGAGACCGCTCAAGCCAGAGTCGCAAACGATTAGCCAATAACGTAGAAAAAATTTTTCTAATTACACTAATTAACGATATCGGACGATAATTCAAAGGATCAAACCGATTACCCTTCTTATATATCATTTTTAAACAAACATTTTTCCAAGTAATAGGAAAAGAGTAATTAGTTTTAAAATTATTAAATAAAGATAGCAAATCATTTAAAATATTAATCGGAAGGAATTTAATCATCTCAGCCTTTACAGCATCTAATCCAGGGGCTTTGTTATTTTTTAGAGATTTTACTACAAATTGTAATTCATCAAATGAAAAATTTTCATCGAGTAATGGATCCGTATTATCATTAGTACAAATAGATAGTACAGCTAAAGATGGCCCAGAAAAAAAAGTTTTCAAATAAACCGACCAATCAGAAATAGAAATGTTATTATACACAACTTTGCCGTTTCTAAATTTATTAACAATTTTCCAAAATTCAGCAGAGTTTTTAATATATGATAATTGAAAATTAATCTTATTCCAAAATAGTTTCTTTTTGGCTTTACAGAGAGATTTAAAAGTTTTTTCCAAATTAGAATAAATAATAAATTGTTGTTTACTTCTTGATCGCCGAAATAAACGTAGAGCACGATTCTTCTCTCTCTTCAATCGTAGGCAATCAATATCAAACCAAGACTTTACAAATTTTCTTGAGCAGTCATATTTGACATACATATTACTTTGAATTACAGACTCAAGAATCGCGTCAACAAAAGACGAATAAAAAGAAAAAGAATCCAGAAAAAATCCGCCTTTAATTTCTGCATATCGCTGAGTGACACTATACAAATACTTGTCCAAACATGAAGATCTCCACACATAACGACATATTTCAGTAGGCAATTCATTGCTGAAAGGAAGAGAATCAAACCTGAACTCAATGGAAATAGGAAGATGATCAGAATCAAATTTATTCAAAACTTTAAAGTCGACCAAGTTATCAACTAATTCAGGATTTGTAGCTATCAAATCAATAACTGATGCACCCAAAGAGGAAATAAATGTAAAATTAGCAGGGAAATCAGTAACGAATCGACCATTCAATAAAATCATACCATAAGATTTGATCAAGTTCAAAAATCCTTTTCCTCTATAGTTAAAAATCTTATCTTTAGATTTTCTAGTATTATAAAAATTTCTATTAGAACCTAAATATAGTGTATCTAATTCGGAAGCAATTCTAGCGTTGGAATCACCGAGAATCAAAATATCATCAACATCTTTAAGATCCAGAATCAGTCTATCAAGATACTCAATCAATGAATCGTATTTATGAATAGATATATAAACCAGAACAATTAAGAGCCCAGGACGATCTCTAAACAGATGTTTATCAAATGTAAGTTTAGCTATAATAAAGTTATCAGAGAGATGACAAATTTCTAACTCACCAAGTTTCCGAGACACCACTAAAAACAAACCTCCAGATGGTCTTCCAGGTCCCTCAAGTTTATGAGCTAACATTTCAATGAAATAGAATTGAGAGTCCAGTGATGAAAGAAGGGTTTTCAACGAAAATATCATCCATGTTTCAGTTATGCCAACAATATGATATGATAATATAAAATCAACAAAACTTTTGTCAGAAAAGTTAGCAAACAATGAACCCTGACTGTTCCATGATAATATCTTTAACATATAGAAACCCTCTGAATAAGGAATAACAGTTGAATTTTTTAATTCTCGTCCATTCGACGATCCGACGATTTCCCTAGTGATAAAAAAGGTTCAATCTTCATCAGCTTATTACTTAATAAATCAAACGTAAAGTTTTCTCCATTAATTGTTAGGCAATCAGCTCTCATAAACGCATCTTTTCCGGTCTTCTTAGCCTCTTGATAAAAAGGAAAAAGATTTTTCCTCCTAATCCTCGATCTCCAGTGCAGATCATCAAAAAACTTTACCTTAGAACATCCTTCCCTTTTCTGAATATTGTGAACATTCCGGTAGATAAGTTTTTTATCGGAGACAGTATCAAGTTTTGCCACCACCAAATTATTTTTTTAAATTATTTTAAGATCTTTCACCAGAATTGAATCACCACTAGGTCTTTTAATAGACAACAAAATGTCGGAAGCCAAAGACACAACTTCAGACAAGTTTCCATCTAATCTAGCAATAACAATATTATTTCTCTGCTGTTCATTTATCGATGAATCTAAGATATAAAAAATAGGAGGTTGAAGCAGTATATGAGGTATTTAAATTAGAAATTTCCTCTACCTTTTTTTCTACATTAAGGAGACTTTGTTCAAAATCTTTATGCAAATTTGCCAGCCATTCAAATTTAGTAGGTAAATCTTCAAGTTTAGTCAAGATGGTATCAAATTTTTCCTCTAAAAAAGAAAATCAATTTTGGGGTACATTTGGAGAAGGAGTCAAAGGAGGGAAAAAAGATTCCAGTCGCTGAGATTTCAGAGTCGGTTCACTAGGAGATCTTTGACATTTTCCAACAGCAGAAATGGACGACTTTGAAAGAGGGGAGGAAGATGGAGTGCGAGACATTGGTCCAGGGTTAGACTCAATACCTCCAATTATTAATAAAACACGTAATAATAAATATATATCAAAAACTTTAGTGAAACCAAAGTAAAGAATCTCACTCTTTGTAGAAACAAACATATCCAAAGCACTATACTGTACTTCAAAAAAAACAGCTCTCACAAAAACTCCATAAATAAATAAATAAATATATAAATAAATTCTCAATCTGCTTTGAATTAATTTGTATCAGCAATTTCTAATACTTTTATCTAATTTAGAGCTGTAACAATAAAAAATTTGTATTTTGTGTATTATATTTAAGTAAGATATTTTTTTTTGCATAATTTTTTCTTTGAAATGTTTGAAAGTCGTCATAACTTGAGAGTTGTAGATTACAGATATCTCTGTATAATATGGCAGTTACATTTTGAAAAAGTACCTTATGTGAATCCATGCTATAATGACTAGTAAAAACAGAGTTAAATTCCAAAAGTTAGCAAAAGAATACTATTCTTTTTTGTAATTAAGAGAAATAAGTTTATTAACACAATCAATAATTAACTAACGATCACAATCATGTTTATTGCATGTTAATATTAATTTTTTCTTCACTGCTAAATACTATTAAATGTGAAAATTTACTTTTTAGTAAAATATTGTCATCATCTGAGCTTTCCTGTTAACCTTAACCTAAAGTATCATCATCTTGATTTTTCTGTACTTTTCATAAAATCTGATATTTTCATTTTCTTGTGTGTTTGCCTAAGATCTATGTAAAAATTTATTTTACATAGATCATAGGCATACAATAGTTACTACATAAATAATAAATTTTTTATGTAGTAACTATTAATTTAATCTATAAAAACAAAACATGATGACAGTCTTTCAGGTTCATTTAGAGCAGGGGTGGCCAAAACTTGGCGCATTGGACGACTACAAGTGGCACTTCAGTCGGTTCCAAGCAACATTGCCAGATTTGGCTTCATTGCAATTATGAATATTACATAGGAAATTAATTTTTTACAGTGTGTCTTAGCAAGTGTATTTCTTACACAATTCGGTGCAATCGACCTGTTGACCTTTTTTTTTTTTTTGCTTGTATGGTAAACGATGCATTCGTGTTCACGTACACCACTGATGTCATATAGAACTATTTTATACGGGTAGCTACACTACAACCGCATTTTTCATTGCTTGTTTTATGGCAAATCTGAATTTTCGTCTTATAAATTGAAATACCTAAATAAGGAGTGGCCGAAATTTTTCTCCGCCCCGGGCTGCTAACACTCACAGTACGCCACTGTGCATGTGAACTCGTCTATCAAAAAATTGGCACATGGTATGCAAAAGGTTGGCCACCCCTGATTTAGAGCATTATTGCCTATGACAGGGACACCTGGTTTATAGGAAAGCTAGAATAGGAAGCTAGGACAAGAATGAAGAAAAACTGTACAATCAATTCTCATTAAAGAAATCAGGCAAAGGCAGAAAACAGTGAAAATTTCAATATTCTAAAATCCGTATAAAAATCTAAAACACCACCCATGCTTGCTTAAATAAAAAAAAAAAATTGAGAGACAGTGTTTGCTTTTAACAATTTGTGACATTTTGTATGAGGGATACATATACATAGTGTCTTTTTTTATTTTTTGTCATCTTTTCATAGAAGATAAGAATGTCTTAATTTAAAACTTTTTACTACACTCATGTAAAGTGTTTTTTCCAGTCAGAAAGCTATTGTTTATTTACTTACTGTAAAAGTCAAAATTTTATAAATACTATATCATGAAATTAACAAGAATGATAACAAATTTCATTTTTGTGAAGACTAACATTCCTAAAGAAATCATCATATAAAAATAGCAATTAATCATATAGGATGTTCCATAACACTCTTACCTTATTCTATGTTTATATACATTGATCCACATACACACACACTATACAAGGCAAATTCCATAAATAAGGTTAGTAGCTCTATTAAAGAAAAATCACTGTGTACAAGGTTGAGATAAATAAAATTGAAAGAGTATACAATAATGCAAATTTTGTACCAATACTTATCTCTGCCAGTTAGCATTTGTGTCAATTTTATATGGTTTTATAAAAAACATTGTCCATATCAAACTGCACCAGAATTTAACAGTGAGCTGCTATTTGATTTTTGACCACCAAAAGTATTATGAGGTCCACTGCAGGATGTATGCACAACATAGAGAGTTATGCATGTCTCTACATAAAGCTTGCAAATCGATTTAAAATTCTATGTAGATCATTATCTATGTTTGTTCAGTTTTCCTTGAACTTTCAAACTACTTGTACACTTTTTCTAGGCATGCACAACTTCCATTTTATGCATTTGGCTGTCAAAAATCAAAAAACAGCTCACTGTTTAATTTAGGTACAGTTTGATATGAGTGACACTCTCTTGTAAACCACAAACTGGACACAAATGCCTCCTGAAAAAAAAATATGGCTAGATAAAAATATTGTTTTCCTTAAAAATTCAGTAGTAGTAATAAAAAATATTGTCTTTTGAATTACTGTATACTCTTTCAATATTATTAGTCTTAACTTTATGTGCTACATTATTTTTTCTTTAGTATTGCTACTATTAACCTTACTTATTGAATCTGCCTCATATATTATAACACATCTTGGCTTTTAAAGATCAAAAATATCAGTTTGAGTAACACTGTAATTGTAACACATCTGAATACAGCATCATGTATGCTGTGATGTTTTACAAAGAAACTTAGAGAAGATTTTGCCAATAGAAAACATCCTTGTTTAGTGTTTAGCAGTAAAGAAAAATAATTAATATTAACATGCAATATTTTTTTATTGTGATTGTTTTTTGTGTCTAATTACTAAGTGGACCATAAAGTAACACAACAAACATCTCTAGCAAATAGCTGGTAAATTTATATATGGATTCACAAAAAGTAGAACAAAATGATACATATATTCAGAGTTCAGCCCTGAATTGACACAGAACCAACATCAGGCACATAGTAAAAAAGCACACATTCGCCAGACAAACGCTACAACCAACTATATGTAAAAAGCGCACAAAGCGAGAGAGAGCACCCCACTCGATAGTTTTTATTTAAAGAAAAAATAAAATAAAATAAAACAAAATATCGTCTGCTAGTCTGAACAGTGATTGTTAGTTAATTATTAATTGCTTTAATAAACATATTTCTCTTAATTACAAAAAAGAATAGTATACTTTTGCTATCTTTTGGAACCTAACCCTATGTTTTGTACTAGTCCTTTGTTTTGTATAGCATGGATTCACATAACATGGCATTTTTTGGAACTGAAACTATTGTGTTATATGGATGATATCTGTATAGTGTATAAATTTTAAAGACTTGTACTTTATGCGAGTCAAATCTGTATTTAACCTAAAGTATCATCATCTTGATTTTTCTGTACTTTTCATAAAATCTGATATTTTTAATTACTATAAAATGGCAAAAAGCTTATTTTGAGGGTAGGGATGAATTTTATAAAAAAGTGTAAATGTTAATAACAAATAAAATCATTAAGTCTTATCCCTTTCATAATACATACTCTCTATCTAAGATACCTACCCCCTCTATCTCCCCATCCTCTTGATCTTTTACCACCAAAATTTAATAGCATCAATGCCCCTCATATACAAGCCAACATGCCAAATTTCATTTCTTAATTTTTACCCCATCCTGAGATATTAAGTGAAATATATGCCAACATACACACTGAATCTTTTTGCTGTTTTTTTTATCTTTTTGTTCAGGGGATCTCAAAACATGAAGATTTGCAAAAAACTCAGAGGGTAAAATTTGACATGATTCCAATACTTTCCCTTGTTATGTATACATAACAGCCAGGAAAATAAAAACTAACATTATGTTTATAAATATAAAAATTTCATTCAAAATTAACTGATTCTGAAAAATTTTAAATTAGAATTTAAATAATATATACCTGTTGAATATGTCCAGCACCTTGGGGAGATGTTCTATGTAATAATTCCATTGTTGATACAGGTGGTGGAGGAGGACCAAGTGTAGATAACTGATCATTAGTTTTCTACAAAAATTAATTTTTATTTAAAGCTAAGGGAACACAAAATTTTAAATGATTAAATTACATAAAGAAAACATAACTAACCACATCTGAAACAACTTGTTCTGCTGCTGAAATAGGAACTGATGCCTGTTTTTTCACATCAGTTTGATATCCTTCCCATCCCAAAGGACTTTGCCTTGAAACATTATTAACATTACATTCCAAAGAGTCTGTTTCTACATTCTGTTTAACATTAGTTTCTTTTTCAGCTATAGTCTCTGAAAGTAATGGTGCTGCAGGAACAAATGTAACACTAGGCAGATCTGGATTGTCCCATAAAGTTGTACTAGGTGAATTACTGCATCGCTGATGATTGTGATGACGATGAAGAGAAGCATGCCAAGATGACTGATGAGAAAGTATTTCCCCATCTGGAGGATGCTCTAAATTTTCTGGTACAGTTTCTAAATTAACTTCTTGAGCAGTGCTAATTGGAACAGAATCTTGTAATGTATTTTGTTCAATTTCTTGTTGTATGATATTACCTATATTTGAAATGAACATAATGCTAAATATTATAATTAAATCTTTAAACAGATCCAGAATGATAACAGAACAAAAATAATAACTGAGTGTAAAATATTTTCATTTAGTGCATAAAGCAGGATATTTTATTTTTCTTAAAAACTGAATAAATTTTTCAGTTTAATTTTGTCTTTTTATGATGCAGAATGAAGTAAAGGAATTATATATATAGGAATTAAAATAATGTTACTATTGTATTAACAGAATTGTAATAATGGATAAAAACAAGATATGAATTCATGCTATTATCAGAAAGATAATCCCTATATTATTTCAGTAGAAACAGTACAGTTAGTAAAGTTACTTCAATTTTTATAGCACTTTTCTAATTTTTGTATCAAAGGGTAAAGAAGAAACAGAAAATGAAGCTTACTTGGCATGATATTTTATCTATTATATTTTTCCTGCTGAACACACTGATATTTCAGGTGTTTTAACACAATCTAAATTACCTGATAAAAATAATTTACTTGGAGGTTTAAATGGACTTCCTTCACGGGGTTTAATAACAGTACCTCTTTCTTGTTGTATTACATCAGCTGAATTATTTCTACAAATATCACTATTACTTTGTGATGGAAAGACAGGAACTATATCCGGTATTTGTTGATTGATTGGTTCATCTGCATTCCGATATGTTTTGGTGCTATCAGTTTTATTTTCATCTCCCTGAAATTACAATCTTTATTTATTCTCAGGACACTTCCCATTTTTGCAGAGAACTATGGAGTTTCAATTTTATAATACTTATGAACAATTTATGTTCTATTTTTGATTAAGTTTACAATATAAAGCTATTACTTTTAAATTAATATAATTATTAAATAATATTAAGAGTATGTTATTTAAAACATTAGTTTTATTAAATAATTTTAGTAGGATACAAACAGTAATAAAATCAAATCATCATTTTAAAATTATAACTAAATTTATAGGTTCCCCTAACCAAAAGAAATTTGGATAATTGTTACAATTCATTTAAAAATAATAGAATAATCTTAATAGATAATTTTTTATTATCTAATACAATTATAATCTATATTATAACTACAAACTTCACTTGTTTCATTCAAATGTATAAAAAATTAAATTTTAAAATCACTTACAACTCCTCTTTGTCGTTGAGATGAATTTGATTCTATTTGTGATATATCAGCAGATGGTTCTGGAACTTCTTGATTAACGGGTTCTATATTAAAATTTGTATTAATTAAATTACAAAAAATATTTTAAAACAAAAACTATTTCAAAAATTATTTTAAATAAAAATATAAATTTAATATTTTTTAAATAAAATCTTCAAAAATATTTCTGAGTTTAAATTTATTTTTACATTATTGTTTTCTACCTTCTATTGGAAAAGCTTCCGTCTCTTTTATAGAAGAATTTAATGTAAGACTTTCTATTCCCTCACTGATGTTATTCATTTCATCAATATTCACATCATCTCTTGAGGATGAATCAAATTCTTTTATACTTGTTCCATTGTCATTTATTAATTGAGAATTTCCTTCATTATCTTCTTTTAAAATAGTTTCTTGCAATTTATCACCACTTGCATTATTTTGATTTGTTTCTTGTGATGAATTGTCTTTGTCTTTATTTTCACTAGTAATTGGAGTTTCTGTTGTTGGCACTAAGTAATCTACATTTGTATTATCATTGTTGAAAAATACTGAAAGACCTTTATTACAGTCAGATGAATCTAAATTTTTTACATTGTTATTTTCAGAAACTTCAGAACTAATATTTACAGAACTATCAAAATTTTGTACTTCACTTCTAAATTCACTACTTATAGAATTTGTGATAGAAGCATTTCCTGAATCTGATTGACTTTGTGGAATCACTTGAGAAGACTGATTGGCAGCTTGCTGAGAACTTTCTAAATTTGGTACATCAGTCCAGTGTTTTTCCCAATTCCAACTAGTATTTTCTGCAAACTGATTACTATTTTCTAACTTTTCACTTTGATTATGAACAAATGGTTTTTGATGACCATACCATTGATATTCATTTGTATTGTAAGGTTGTTCAACTTGCCAGTTGTATGAGTTATTATTGCTTGTATTTTCTGTAAAATAATGCTGTGGATAATTCCACTCATGTTGTTGATTTACATTTTCTAATGACTGATTCATTTCTGTCCAAGAATTTGTTGTGGTTGTTGTCTGCAATTGTGCTTGACTAGTAACTTGTTGTGGCTGATGATGAAATATATTACGCTGTTGCCAATTCTGAACTGATGGAATAAAACTAGCTGGATTTCCTTGGCTTCCTTCTACATCCCAATTCCAAGGATCAGCACTAGAAGACTGAGTTGTCATACACTAAAATAAAAAAAAAATTTTAATGAATAACTATATAATCATCATCATATTAATATTCATTTTAATTTAACATTAAAATTTTTGAATAAGCTATTTATAAGATATTTCCTGATATTTTATGTTTTATGTATAACAAAATATTCAATATGATGAAAAATCATGATAATTATTTATTAAATAATAACTACATATAATAATTAAAATTATATTTCTAACATAGCTAACTCATATATTTATAAAAAATTTGTATTTTTTATAAATATAAGAACATTGCACTCTTATTCACTTAAATACAAAAACCAGCTCAATTCTATCTTGATGGCATAATAAGTTAAGGAATAAAGATTTAGTTAGACATGTTATCTATTGGAATATTAATAATTTGTTAACTTGAAGTAAATGAAATTTAAATACATTACAAAAGCAGTAATCCAAAGTGGGATTTTAATCTACGAGTAGTGAATAAATATTTTAGTACAAATAACTAAATTTACATATAATACATTTCGGTTCTCAATGGAGCCCTCAAGAACTATTGTAGAGCTGTACAAAGGACAATCATTATGTATATAATTAAACATGATGATAGGCTAAATGTACAGTGAATCATTTTATTATTTTAATGGTGTCTTATTTCATATTAATTATAACAGTTAACAGGCTTGTAATGTTTGGTACTGTTTGTTTTAACTATATTGCTCTAAATATCATATCAGCACATTTAATTAAACACCTAATTCTTGAATCTATAATCAATGATTTACCAATTGTTGAGATTTCATTGTACATTTCAAAGATGTATATAATTGTATTGCTGTAAACAACATATCAGCACTAGGGATTGCAATCCAGCAGTATTTTTAATCCAGCTGGATTTTTGCTGAACCAACATCATTCCAGCTGGATCCAGCTGGAACAATGCGCGGACGTTTTTTGGTGCAATAAAGTGTTATCTATCTATCTATCCATCCAAAATTTATCGGTTTTTTTTAAAGAAATAAAACATTTTTTTTTTTAAATACTTAAGAAACTTTTATTATTTAGACTGGTCACTATAAATCAGTAAAACTTCTTACACATTTAGGTAGTAAACTTTGGTTCGGTTTAACACTTGAGATAGAGATAAGTAACTTTCAATGTTTAGTTAGATTATAATTATAATGTAATCTTTAAGTTAAATAATAGCAAAGGTAATTCTACTAATTAATTTATATTAATATATTATATTATAATAATGTAAGGACGGATAATCAGTGGCTAAGTGGCTATCAGTCTTACCAGTTTTCTTATATAGGCTCTACATATCAGTCTGTAGCTATTTATAAGTAATTTAATTATTAGTGTTAGTAAAGTAGTGAGTAAGTAATT